GCCATGGTGGTTTGCTGCACCTATCAACCCATCATCTAGGTTTTAAGCCCCAAATGCATTAGGTATTTGCCCTAATGCTCTTCCTCTCCTTGCCCCACAGTCCCGGATAGGCCCCAGTGTGTGATGCTCCCCTCCTTGTGTCCATGTGATCTCACTGTTAAACTCCCACTTATAAGTGAGGACATGTAGTGTTTGGTTTCTGCTCCTGTGTTAGTTTGCTGAAAATGATGGGTTCCAGCTTCATCCATGTCCCCACAAAGGACATGAACTCATTCTTTTTACGGCTGCATAGTATTCCACGGTGTATATGTGCCACAATTCCGTTATCCAGTCTATCATTGATAGGCATTTGAGTTGGTTCCAAGTCTTTGCTATTGTAAATAGTGCCGAAATAAACATACATGTGCATGTGCCTTTATAGTAGAATGATTTATAATCCTTTGAGTATATACCCAGTGATGGGATTGCTGGGTCAAATGGTATTTCTGGTTCTAGATCCTTGAGGAATTGCCACACTGTCTTCCACAATGGTTGAACTAATTTACACTGCCATCAACAGTGTAAAAGCATTCCTATTTCTCCACATCCTCGCCAGCATCTGTTATTTCCTGACTTTTTAATGATCACCTTTCTAACTGGTGTGAGATGGTATCTCATTGTGGTTTTGACTCAAGATGGATTAAAGACTTAAATGTAAAAGCTAAAACCATAAAAACCCTAGAAGAAAACCTAGGCAATACCATTTGGGACATAGGCATGGGCAAAGGCTTCATGACTAAACACCAAAAGTAATTGCAACAAAAGCCAAAATTGATAGATAGGATCTAATTAAACTAAAGAACTTCTGCAGAGCAAAAGAAACTATCATCAGAGTGAATAGGCAACCTACAGAATGGGACAACATTTTTGCAATCCGTCTATCTCACAAAGGTCTAATATCCAGAATATACAAGGAATTTAAACAAATTTACAAGAAAACAAACAAACAACCCCATCAAAAAGTAGGTGAATGATATGAACAGATACTTCTCAAAAGAAGGCATTTATGCGGCCAACAAACATATGAAAAAAAGCACATCAATTTACAACATGGTTTACTAAATATTTGAAGTTCACTGTTGAGAACTACTGCTCAGAAAAAAAAATTCTTGCAAAACACTGCTACTTATTGACAATTCACCGGTCACCCAAAAACTACTGAAGGAATTGAATATTGTTTTCATGCCTGCTAACATAGTATCCATTCAGCAGCCCATGGATCAAGGAGGAATTATTAAGAAATAGATTCTCTAAGGATATAGCTGCCATAGATAGTGATTTTTCTGATTTATTTGGGCAAAGTAAACTGGAAACCTTCTGGAAAGTATTCCCCTTTCTAAATGCTCCTAAGAATATTTGTGATTTATGGTAGGTAAAAATATCAACATTAACGGGATTTGGAAGCAGTTGATTCCCACCCTCATGGATGACTTTGAGAGGTTCAATACGCCAGTGGAGAAAGCAACTGCAGATGTGGTGGAAACAACAACAGAGCCAAAATTAGAAGTGGAGCCTGGAGATGTGACTGAACTGCTGCAACCTCATGATCAAATATTAATGGATGAGGAGTTGCTGCTTATGGATGAGCAAAGAAAGTGTTTTCTTGAGATGGAATCTACTACTGGTGAAGATGCTGTGAACATTGTTGAAATGACAACAAAGGATTTAGAAATTCCATAAACTTAGTTGATAAAGCAGTGGTAAGATTTCAGAAGATCGACTCGAATCTTGAAAGAGGTTCTACTCTGGGTAAAATGCTGCTGCAGCATTCATTGCATACTACAGAGACATTTTTCACGAAAGGGAGTCAATGGATGTAGCAAACGTGATTGTTTCATTTTAAGAGATTACTACAGCCACCCTAGCCTTTAGCAACCACCACCCTGACGGGTCAGCAGTCATCAACATCAAGGCAAAACCCTCCACCAGCAAAAAGATTATGACTTGCAAAAGACTCAGGTCATTGTTAGCATTAGTTGGGAAAAATATTTTAAAATTAAGGTATCATATGGTGTTTTAGATGTAATGCTATTGCACACAACAGACTATAGGATAGTGCAAAAATAACTTTTATATGCAGTAGGAAACCAAAACCTTCATGTGATTTGCTTTATTATGATATTAGCTTTATTATGGTGGTCCCTAACTGAACCTACAACGTCTCCAAGGTCTGCCTGGATAGTGCTTCTCAAACTTCAACTGCATACCAGTCACTGAGGAATTGTGATGAATTTGCAGATTTTGATTGAGTGAACCTGGGGTGAGGCTGGAGATTATACATTCCTCACAAGTTTGCTTTGATCACCAAGGCACTGGTGCCCTTTCAACATTTGGCTCGGGGGAAGCAAAACAAAACAAAAACATTGTCCCCAGATGACTAGAGATTCCATGCCAGGGGTTCTTAAAGTGAGGTCCACATGGCAACAACGTTAACATCAGCTGGAAACTTTTAAAAAATGCAAACTCACAGGCCTCTGCCAGATGTACTGAATCTGAACTTGGGGGAGCCCAGGAAACCATAGTTTAAGAAGCCTCCAGGTGATTCTGATGTGCACTGATGTCAGAGAACTGCTGTTCTGAGTAACACTAAAGAGGGAGTTACTACAGTCAAACAAATCATAATGTCTCCAGGCTTGTCACCCTCTGAGGACACCACAGATCACTTCCTGAGACCTCAACCTAGGACAGACACTCTCCATTCTATTTCATATTGAATCATCTCTGGAGCTACAAACCAGGGGAAGCCCAGTCCCTACTCCCTGTTGATTCGGATTCAGAAAGTTTGGGATAAATCTGGGGACTCTATTGTTTTAAACTTACACAACAACGGTTTTTAAAACTCAAACCAAAGACCATCTATACTTAAGAAGGTGGGAGGGCTGACCTTTAATACACACACTACAAAATGTAAGAAATATCAGCTCTTAACAGGATTGGCATCTCTGAAGACTATGAAGGGATTTCCACCGAGGGACCAGAAAGAGATGGGTCAAGAGCCGTCCCTTCCAAAGCCCCACAAGAGTCAGTGATAGCTACCAAGACTCCTGCCCACAACAACCCCCAGAAGTGTTATATCCAGCTTCTCTTTTTTTCTATGTAAGCCCAACTTTGTAGTTATTCCTTATAAATTAAGAGACAACATGTCTATTATCTCATTTACAAGCACCTTTTAAATTTTAAACACAAATATCTTGTCTATCTGAAATACATATTCTACAGTTTAAATACATCCATCCCCATGTGGTTCTGCTTATCTTCTATCTTCTAAAGATATTCTATCACCCCTTTAAAATGGAAGGCTCAAGCTGAACTCATATGTTGTTTATTTTCTTCTATGTGTCTTTATAAAATTTACCAACATGCACGATAAGTAAATGTGGCTTCTTTCTTCTGGAAAAACAAATGTTATAAAAATTAAACACAGAATTTTAGTCATCGTTTAAATATTATTCCCTTTGTTCTGAATTAAATATTTCAAATGTAGTGATTTAAGTTTGTTGGCTTGCTTGTTTTGTTTTTGTTTCACAGCTTCCTCAAAATAGTGGCTCGCATCGAACTAGTCAACAAAAGTCTTAAAATCTCTCTTTTTTGGATGAATGGTTTATCAAACAGACTTTTTCATATCGTAGTTGTACCGTTAATTTTTAAATATAAATGCAAGATTTCACACTTGCAATACTTATATTAGTTTACATCAGTATTATTTTAAGATCTCATTTTATTTTATATAGAATTACCAAACGTCTTTTGATTTCCTTTTTGCCCACCCCGTTTTATTTTTTAAATGTTTAAAAACAGATAGTCTCATTATTTTCACCAGGATTGTAATATCTTTCAAATATCTTTGAAAGCTATCTCTGATCCCAAATTACCTCCTTACTATGCATCTGTAACACTTTGTAATATTCCAACCCTTTGTAGCATTACAAGCACTGAATGGCCATTATTTCCATACGCATTTACCTGCCTAAACTGGGACATTCATCAAGCTAGAGTGTATAGCACAACAATGTACCTAAAGATGAGGCCTGGAATAGTGCTTAGTAGCATATATCTGTAAATTAACTTACTATCCATCAACCAATTTATTTAAAATGGATTCTTCAGTGAGGATTATAATTTACTTAAAATCAGACTAAAAGTTTCTGATCAAATAAAATACATATGAACAAATATGTAGCCTTAGGGGATGATACTGCTTTTGGGTGAGTTTAGGTTCGTCTTGCAAATGGCTGGGATAAGGCTACCATCAGAGAAGGGCTAATACAGACGTGAAGATGAGGCCACATGACAAGAGTTTATCCTAGGAATGAGTGCACTGTTTTGTGCACAGCATGTTTTTCAGCTGAATTTATTGAAGAAAATAGAGGTCAACAAACTTCTGTTCTAAAGGGGCAGATAACAAACATTTTACAAATATTTTACACCATGGGACACTGTCTATCTCCACTGCAGTGCAAAAGTGGTTACAGACAATATGTAAAGAAATGATTGTGGCCATGTTCCAATAAAACTTTATTTACAAAAACAGGTGGTAGGCTGGATTTGGCCCACGAGTGTAGTTTGCCAACCACTGATCTCAATAATATTTGTTCATATATAAAAGGGGAAATAATCACTTATATATATTCTCCTTTTAAAGAATAAATAGTGAGTATCATATGCAATCATTTTATAAAAATTTAATTCAAAGAAAGCCACACTTTGAAAGCTTTGAAAGCCACACATGAGAATGGTTTCTAAGACACTGTCCTCAGTACAGTGTAATTATTTTTTATGTGAGCTTTGTCAGTGTCTTTCATTGTTTCCCAGAATATTTTGTTTATTGAACATAGGAAAACGTAAACAACAAAAGCAATGCCAAAAAAGATAACAGAAGATCCTTGCTGCAATAGTGTCAGTGTCAGTATACTTCACTGAACAGCAGCTAAAACGACGATTTTAAGAGCAGAAGAATTTACCTTGACAGGAAATCCGAGAAGGAAAGGCGAACAGGGTATCCATATCGGAAGATCTTCACCATCTCCAGGACCCCAATATATTGCAGCTGAGCAGACACATAAAAATTATCGAAAGTATCTGGCAGCTTTGAATTATTGGGCCTGATGCAATGAATGAAGTGTGGAGTGCACTTCTGAAGTTTTCCAATAATATCCATTAGGGATTTCTAAGGAGAGAAGTAAAACCCAACTGATTCTCCAAAGGAGACACTAGCTAAAAATATAAAGCAGTTTTTAAATAAAAAGTCTTTACATCTTTAAATCTTATTATGCATTTACTCTGTGTGTGTGTGTGTGTATGTTTACTTTTTTCTGAAGATATTTAAGTTGCCAAAAATGGAAGAAAAAAAAAAGTACATAAACCGTCTTTAGTTGCTATAAACATACATTAAGTTTTTGAAATCTGAAAACGTCACTAACCCTGAGTTGTGATGCTATGGTGACTGGATCTCCTCGTTCCAATCTTTGAAGAAATGTAGAAGTTCCTTTCTTTTTTAATAACTGTAATAAAAAGAAAGAAAAGAAGGAAGGGAGGGAGGAAAAGAGAGGAAAGGAGAGGAGAGGGAAGGGGAGGGGAAAGGAGGGGAGGGAAAGGGAGGGGACGGAAGGGGAGGAGAAGGGGAGGGGAAGGGAGGGAAGGGGAGGGGAGAAGGAGGAAAGGGAGGGAGGGGGAGGGAAGGAAGAAGGAAAGTGAGAAAGGAAAAAACAAAGAGAGAGAAAGAAGGAAGGAAAAGAAAAGATGGAGGAAGAAAGGAAGGAAAGAAGAAAGAATGAAGAATAAGAAAAAGTGAGCAAATTTATTTTACTAAATTTCAGTTCAGAAGAGCAAAAAATTAAGTCTCACATCCATGTACAGTCACTTACAGGCAAATGTGGATTTAAAACAGTTTACAAAAACCAGTGCCAAGTGATTTTCGTAATGGTGTATAAGTTGAGGAAATGGGCAACTACTTGTAAAATCACAACTGTTACTGCCAACCTTTCACGTATAGGGCTGTTGTGTAAATCAGATCTATCAACATCCTGCACCCATTTTAGTGTGACAATAAACATAGATCCTGATTTGCTTGGTGGTACAATAAACTCACTACCATATCCTGGTTATGCTACTAACTGTTCATATTTATCATGAAATTTAGTTTACTCTGGGGCAAAACGATGCTATTTTATGTTAGAAAAATTTTATGTTTCAATTATCATTGGTCTGTTCCCTTAAATTTAAGTACACTCAGGAATTGAATGAATGAATGGTCTGATGCTTTCTTACCATGTTTTTCTTCCCTTTCCTCCTCTTCCTCGTTTTATAACTACTAAAAAAGGTTACTAAACTATCTATCTGTAAAAAATGCTAATAGACTCTATTGTTTTCAAATAAGTAAATATGTACAGCCCTGAAGAGAAAAAAAAATCCTATGTAGTGAAGATTACATGATGACAGAGACATAAAATCAGTGAAAATGAGCCCAAAATGAAATAAAGGGCAGAAATAAAGGGCAGATGTAATTAATTAAATTCCACCCAGGGTTAAAAGGAACCTCAGCCACTAACCTACTATTATATTTCACAAAATTATATATTAGACTAATAGACTTATTGATCTAAAATCATTTTTCTTAAAAAAGGTCTTGATACAAGAAGAAATCTGAGATAACTTTCTTGTGGATTTAGTGCTTTTGCTATTATGACAATAGCTCATTTTCTTTTGTTAAGACCTACCATCAATCTGAAGTGATTCATTGGTACTGACGAGGGAATGTAAAATGAAGTGACTAGGCCAAGATCAACCTGTTCTCTACAAACACAATACAATGTGCCATACTCAGTTACAGAGTAGGGAAAATCCTATTTTCCTGACCACAGGGGTGGCTGTGCATGGATGAAGGGAGTCTGAAGGGAATAAATAAGGGAAGCGAGAAATAGAAAATTTAAGGAATAATCATAATAAATAGCTCTCTGTCCCTTGAAATGGAACACTCCAGTTCCCTTTCTGGGTGGAGGAACTACTGTGAATTACCCCCCTTCTGGTCCTGCAGGGAAAAGACTAATGGCATCTAGGCCTTCTAATGTTTAATAATTGAGGTTAGATGTGTGTGGTAGTTTTTGCACTTGACTTTTAGGATGATTGAGAAAAGAAGGGCCAGAAGGTTCAGGAAGACCTCCAGGCATAGAACTGTTTCTCATAAGGATAACCTTATCCTTTTTTTTTTAACGTACAAAATGCCATTTCCTATGTGGCAGAGACTAATTCTCATGACCATTTAGTTCTAAACAACTACATCAAAGGATTTTTTATTCTAGAATCCACTGGCTGGAGACACACACTCACACACTCACTCACACTCATATTAACACACATTTTGGTGTGTTAATTTAGACTCTTCTAAAATAGAATTGAATTTAATTATGCTTTTATTTTAATTGGTAAGCTAAAATATATTCCAGAAGCTGCAACAATTGCATTTCTAAAATTGATTGTCCTGAACACCTTCCCAAATATATTCCTCATCTTTTATAGTTTTGGTAGACATAAGCAAAACACTCTGGAATACCATCTGGCACTGGATTCTTAAGAAACCTAAAACACTCCATACATGTTTCCTATCAGTTTGAAACAACTCTTCACTGAATTTTTAGTTCTCTTTTGTCACATAGAATCTTGAGGTTGTATATACAACCAAACTTTTGTGAGACAAATATACATTACAAATTAGTATAATACAATAAAATTAAAACTCTACAAATATGCAGTAAAAACATCCTAGCACCTGAACAATACCCTATGTCTATAAGAGAAACAACAATTTATCATTTAGAGACCTCAATTATCTGAAGTGATTAATATCAACAGAATAAGATAGCTAAGTTTACTCCCTCTAAGCCTACAGTATCTGAAGTTACCTTCTATTCATCAAAAAGGCAGTCAGAGATGAAACATAACTGGGATGTTGCACAGACAACCAATAAAATGACTCAGACTATACTTACTATTAAAATTGTCACCCTGCTGCACCTTCCTCTACTCTTCCTTCATTCTGATGGTTACGCATCAGGTAGACATTCTTTTCCTTAATATTTTCTATTAAAATATCTATTTCTTTGGTATTCAAAATTGTGCTTTTTTTAAAAAAAGAAGCAAATATACTTATCAAAATTAAAAATAACCCAACAATAATCACAAAAACTCCTACCTTACTAAGTTCTAGATAATTCTTGTTTTCTCCAATAATTGAAGAAGCTGTCATTTTCTTACTGAGCAGGGCAGACTTATGTCCTCGGAATTTAAAGGAAGGATAGGCAGATACGAGGGATCCTGTCTGTGACAATTTCGACTGGAACAAATGATTGATCACGACATTTTCACTAGCTAGGAAATAAATAAATGAATATCGTAAGTGGCACTAAAATTATTACTTAAGCATTGAACTTACTCCTCATACAAGAGCTTTAGCCACTGACACATTCTAGGTGCAAGATGTCATTGGTTCAGCAGATTGAGGAGTCTACCTTTTCCTGTATCCTTATTTTATTTCCTCCACTATTTAACATCATTGACCAATTCTGACATTCACTACCCTTGACCAGGAATCCTGATCCCAACTGGGCCTTGCTCTCTGAGTGACGCTTCTATCCTGATTTTCAGAACCAAATCTTACCTGCTCAGACCTAAGGGGCTTTTGTGCACTTGTCAAATCATGAAGACTTATGGACTCTATTAGAAACGCCCCATTCCAGGAAAATAATTATTCAGGAAAATGTTTCCCCAGGACCTAACTCACCTGTATCAGAGCCGTCTGTAAGTACCTGTGAGAGGACCTGCCTTACTTGGTGTGACAGTTGCTAAGTGAAAAAAGGGAAAAGAAGTGTCCTTTTATTTAAAAAACAAAACAAAACAACAACAAAATAAAAATTAAAAAACGGAGTTAAGATGAAAAGGTAAAAGCAAAATGATATATTTTCATGTTTAAGTTATAAAAATCAAATAATTCTGAGTCCATATTCCTTTCTTGACACCTCAGGGAGAAACTGGAGCTCAGACGAGTGGATTTTGGGTTACAAATTTTAAAATCATAGGGAAAACAATGTATGTGGTGGTTAAGGATCAAAAGGAAAGTTTCTTGTGTTACTTATATCTGCATGTAGGCAGTTTTTAGGCCTAAGTGTCCTTTCCTATAAAATAATGATGACAGTACCTACTTTGAGAATCATTGCAAAATTAAAATGTGAAATAATGAACATAAATCACTAGGATCATGCTTCGCCAATCAGACAGCTGGCAACGTTTCACGGCAAAGCAGTTTATTTTCTACCTTTTCCACACTCAAATCATTTTGCCTGCCCAGGTGCAAAATACAGGTGGCATAATATATATCTGTAATGCTTTCCATTAAAAAAAATCCCTACATTAGGTAATAAACGAACAGGGAAGCAGGAAGAACTGTCAGGAAAAGGAGATACAATTATGTAATGCAAAAGAGGCCCTGTGATGTTGGGATAAAATTAGAGAGAGCAAGAGAAATCCATGATTCTTAATACACAGTTACAGATCTATATACCTATATATTATCTATACTTACATCTTAAATGTTCAAATTCCGAAAGGTCCTAAAAGCAATCATACCCCAGTAGCAATGAGCTCACCCAGTCCCCAGATCTTGGAGTTTCTGAATACCATTCTTTTCTAAGATAAATCAAGGCTTCCTGAACAAATGTCTGATTCTAGATTTGAGGCAAGATGAATGATTCTGGAACATTTTTGGAAGGCCAGAATGTAAGGTAGTGTTAAAAAAAAAAAAAAAAAAGTCAAGAGAATATGTCAAAAAGAAATAGGAGCTAACCTGAAGGGGTTCTTACTGCTCAAATCTTAAACAATTTTAGCATCAATATAATTATAGTAATGAATCATTATTCATTGAACAACATAAGAATCCATGAGTGTACACTAATAAGTTAATTAATAGATAAAGAAGTGGGAATTATTATAGTAGAATGCCACTGTTTATGGAAAGATGGGGTAAGAAAATCAAAATTTTGCAATCGTGAGAAACGATTTAGGCAAGAATCATAAATGTATATAAAACTAATGGGTAAAAGTTTGATGAGGAACAGAGTATTTACATAGTCTCAAAGTACTTTCTCACAAATTACTCATTAATAACAAAGGGAAAACAGCAAGCTTTATGTTAGAAGAAGCTGAAGAGCACCACCTTACACAGTGCTCATGGTGAATCTGTTTCAAACCGTGACTGCCTCCAAATGTAATGTGCCAAGAAGGATACTCCACTACCTCTTGGGACTCCTGGTCAAAAATTCATAACCTACTTCTAATATAAACTCAAACACAGTGATTTCTATGAATTAACTGGCATTAAAGAAAATGTCATGAAAGAGAGAGAAAAGCTAAAGAACTGTCTCAGATTTAAAGGAAAAATGATAACTAAATGCAATCAATGCTCCTGAATTAGGAGAAAATGACCATAAAAGACTAATATTAGTGGGACCATTGGTAAAACTTTATATGAACTCTGGATTAGATATGAGTAGTACATGACTGTTGAATATTCTGATAACTTACTGAAGTTATCTAAGATAATGTCCCTTCTCTTAGGGTGGGCACCAAAGTATTTAGACAACTTACTTTCAAATGATTCAGAAAGTAAACACACACACACACACCCCCACACACACACAGGACACAGGAAGGAAAGAGGAGAACAAAAGATAGAAGGAGATAGAAAGAAAGATAGCAAGACAGTAAAACAAAGGAAATGAAAAAAATGCATCTGGGAAGAGGATACTTGGGAGTACTTTACAATAATTCTGTCACTTTAAGTTTAAAACCACTTCAAAATAAAAAGTTAAATGATAAATACATAATAGTATAGCCAATTTAAATACATAATTAAACAATTATTATTTATATTTATAGCAGGTCTATGTATAAGTGAACCCACAGATAAGCAATGCAACATTTTATTCTTATAATTGAGAAAATGCCTCTAATAAAACTGAAAACATTACTGAGAAGGTAGGTAGTGCAAAAAAATTTTTAAAAGAAAAATATAAAAGATTTAAAAAACTGAAGACATAAGACATAAATATGGTACAAAATACGTAACTGACCCAGTTTTGTATTTTCCCTGAATCATGTGCTCAGGCTGCAGGTATAGCAAGACTCATGTCATCCTATGGACACAGGGAGATGCCATGATTCTTTGGGAGCCTAACGGGAGAGCCCTGACCACAGCTGAGCACATGGCAGGAGATAGCAAGTTCCCTCCAGGACTTAAAAGACAACTCTACTATCCATTTGCCTCTTAAAACCTAGCAAAGGAACTCCTGGTGAAGAGGCATATTTACCTCATTGGGATTACAAGGAGTCACTGACCACAAACCATTTTCTTCCTGTCACTCTACATACATACTGAGAGTGGAAGTGTCCCTTACTGGGATCTACAATCATTGTCCAGGGTCTTTCTACCTGTAAAGTGGGATAAGCTAACTTATAAGCAAGTGTAGAGACACACAGCAAAAATAATAATAATAATAATAAAATAAAAAATTTTTAAAAAGACTCAATAATTATTAACATAATTGACAGTAAATCCTAAATTTTCCTAAATCCTAAAATTTCCTATTCCTGGGAGTAGAATTAAAAGTCTGGATTTTGGCTTTCTTGTTGTTGTTGTTTGCCTCCTTTTGAGTGAAGTAGACTTTACTTCTAATCTTAGGCACAAATGAGTGTATTTGCTGCGTGTCTCTATGCGCTGTCTCCAAGCTCCCTGACTACACCTGGTTAGCGGTCTCGGAGACACAGCTCTGCTTGTGTAGATTCTACAACAGACTTCACCATCTTCCTCAACTGGGAGCTTTCTGATGCTATGAAAATTGAATTAGATACTATAAGCAAAGTAACTGCAAATAAAAATTATTTATGAATTACATTTGCTTTTAATAATGATGCACAAGCATCAAAGTATTTTACAGATTCATAAAACATGATGGCAACCACAAATATTTTGCTTTTATGATAGAGTGAGTGAGCAGTCATGGCTCCTGAGCCAAACATGACCCACTGCCTGTTTTTGTAAATAAAATTTTATCAGAACACAGTCACATCCATTTGTATTGTCTACAGCTGTTTTTCACATTGTAATAGCAGAGGTGAGTAACTGCAACAAGGATCTTATGGTGCACAAGGTCTAAAATATTTATTCTCTAGCCCTTTACAAAAAAAAAACTGACACCTCCTGTATAAATACAAAATACAAAAGGGCACATTGTAAATTCTGTCCTTTTTCTCAGAAGCACCTACCTCCTAAAGAATAAAAAAAGACTCAATTGTATTTTTCCTGGAACTTTTTTGTGTACAAATTTACATAAAAGAATGATTTTAAAATATAGGCACTCTATTAAGATAAGCAGAATTGCAATATCACTAGCCATCATATTTTCTTTCTAAATACACACACACACATGCACACACACATACATCCTATCACCATGAAATACAAAAGTAAGAAAATCATTGTGTAAACTTTTAAATACATGCTATATATTAGATCTTCCTAAAAGGGGAAGTGCATTATAAATAAAAGTGCAAATAGTCACACACTAAAAGGAAAATTTTCTAATGATAATAAATAAGACCAATTCTTTCCATCTTCATAATGTTATTCCTTGTTTTTTTTTCCGTTAGTTTTAGCTAAGAGAGCTCACAATAAACATAAGTTCTAGAGGCAAGCAGAACAATCTTCAGTGAAAAACAATGTATTACAACTGTGTTGTTGTAATTTGAGGCAAATATGTTTCTCAAACCAGAAGTGATATGGATTTCTTATTTTCAATGCTAGAGCATTCAACTATTTCATGAAAAGCTATTCTGTGCTTCTTTTAAAGATGAATGACTATTTCATTTATAGCAATTTAAAGCATACAAGATGCAATGTTTTAATTCACTAAAAAGGTTATTAGAAAAATGTGAATCACTGCAGAACTGCTAAGAAAATAATTACTAGAGACAGAATTATGTATATATGTATGAATATACATTTAATTATCACACATATACATTTTGTATATGTTCTTGTACATAGTGTAGAATTGTAGATATATGCATATAAAGTATTAATGCTCACTAAGTAGAAGAGTCGCATAAATTTAAACTTACATGTGTATACATATATATACTCCTTCCATTTCTACTCCTACATAGTGAGCATTAATATTTTGTAACTGAAAGTACATAAGAATAAAATACCACCCTTAGTTGTGCTCCGGAGTCATCTTAAGTAATGAAATTCACCCTATTGTGGCCTAAAAAAAGTTGGAAGTCATACTCATCTTCATTAATCTTCACAGAAAAGCTTTTCTATATTCAACCCACTACAGTAGTAAAGGTATTTTACATTTCTATCTGCTAAAAGCTTAAATTATGGTTTCCACTGGACTCCAAATTACATCGTAGCAAATATATAGTGCAGCAAGACCCATTTCTTATTATTCTAGGCATTAGAATGCAAAAGGTATTTCAATTATGCTTTAGCTGGTACATATTTTATAGGAAAATATTCAGAGATAAAGAAATAATGGATGCATGGCATTTTAACCAGTGTAGGGCAGGAAAAAAAAAATCAACTTACTTTTCATTACAAATAGAAGATTCTGTGAAAGGGAGTCTTTATTTTTTTCAATTGCCCCAACAACATCATACATTACCTAGAATAAAAGAAAGCAGCAAAATTACTAATGATTAAACATGACTGTGAAAATAAATTCTTTTAAAGGACAACTTGACCCAGGTGAAGTTTTAAATTATTCATGAAAGAAGTGTCTCCAGGACTTAGAGTTCACATTACATGCAAGTTCAAAGCTATAATCTGCGTGTTCTCATTCTGTACATTAAACAAGGGAACCCTCCTCGGTTCTATTTTGTGAAGGTCTCCTTTGATTGCCAAGTTAAGAGCAAATAGTGATAGTTCACATTCACGTAGTCTCCTTTATTCTTAAGGACTCTAACTTGCTCAGAAAACTCACTGAATGCAGTAAACATACTTGGGAAACTTTGGGAATGAAGTGTGATTTCAGTTTGAGAAATTTAATAGTCTCCTAATTTTAAAAGTTCTGCTTGAATATTTAAAGAATTAGTACTCTGAAGTCTTTACAATTAAGAACACATAGGAAATAATTAATTCTCGATTTCTAAAGGACAATTTTCTTCACCATAGGTGACTTATGAATCAATCTGAAGGATGTTATGATATAATTTTATCAGCATACTAGTAGAGGCTGAGAAACTTGATCTTTGAAGACTGAAATAGTTTGTTGGCTCTCTTAGTGTCAACTAAGTGAAATCTCAGTGGTCATGGAAAGCTGATCAGCCATACATTCTTTAAAAGGCTTACCTTTGAAAATATACCTTGGGGCATAGCACCAGGGTCAGTGTGTCACAGTCTATTCTTTGCTGTGTGTGAACTGGGAGTGGATAAGGGGAGACACAAAACCAATGAAGCCTCATTACTCCTGAACAAGAGTGAGCAGCAACCAAGAAGGGGAGTGAGCATCGCTGTGAGGGGAGAGTGAGCACCCACCATGAGGGAGAGTGAGCACCGCCATGAGGGGAGGGTGAGCATCTGCCATGAGGGGAGGGTGAGTATCCGCCATGAGGGGAGGGTGAGCATCCACCGTGAGAGAGAGTGAGCATCCACAGTGAGGGGAGGGTGAGCACCCGCCGTGAGGGGAGGTGAGCACCCGCCGTGAGGGGAGGTGAGCACCCGCCATGAGGGAGAGTGAGCACCCGCCGTGAGGGGAGGTGAGCACCCGCCGTGAGGGGAGGGTGAGCACCCGCCGTGAGGGGAGAGTGAGCACCGCCGTGAGGGGAGGGTGAGCACCGCCGTGAGGGGAGGGTGAGCAACGCCATGAGGGAGAGCACCCGCCATGAGGGAGAGCTTACCCGCCATGAGGGAGAGCACCCGCCATGAGGGAGAGTGAGCACCCGCCGTGAGGGGAGGGTGAGCACCGCCATGAGGGAGAGCTTACCCGCCATGAGGGAGAGCTTACCCGCCATGAGGGTGAGCACCCGCCGTGAGGGGAGAGTGAGCACCCGCCGTGAGGGGAGGGTGAGCATCCGCCCTGAGGGAGGGTGAGCATCCACCATGAGGGGAGGTGAGCACCGCCGTGAGGAGAGGGTGAGCACCCGCCGTGAGGGGAGGGTGAGCACCCGCCGTGAGGGGAGGGTGAGCACCCGCCGTGAGGGGAGAGTGAGCACCCGCCGTCAGGGGAGGGTGAGCATCCGCCCTGAGGGAGGGTGAGCATCCACCATGAGGGGAGGTGAGCACCGCCGTGAGGGGAGGGTGAGCACCCGCCATGAGGGGGAATTTGCGTCTCGCCTGAGGGAGAGTGAGCCTCACCCGGGTGGGAGTACAACAGTTATGCCTATGGACATCTGAGTGTCACCCATGAGGTAGTATGCATGGCTAATCTGAGTTCTTTGGGAATTTTGTCTAGAGAGCCCAGAGAGGACTGGATTCTTTGCAATGGATGGGTATTAGACAGAGACAGCAGAAGAAACTATGAAGAAAGGGCTTTGCAGTCGGTAGAAGGACCTGGAAAAGGCAGGTGATCCCTAATGCAAGTTCCTTTCTATAGGCTTTTATATTTGCATCTTCCACAATCGGTGCCTGATTATGTCCACCTTTCCCATAAAGACTGAGTTTTTATTCTTTGCTGTTACAAGGGCCTAAATAAAACAGAAGTAATAAGGCATCCCACACGTTCCCAGGTTTTCCAATAAATTTGGGTCAGAAGACCAGTTGAGTTGGCGGACAATGCCAAAATCTTAAACTACTTTCAGGTACAAGTAAACCATTACCTAATTACCCAGTTGGCACTTGTGCCACCACATGGCTTAGTGATACTGAAATGTGAGCTTCATATGATGTGACACATCATACATTGTTAAATGTGAACAATGTATAATCTAGAGCAATGGTTCTCAATCATACCCTCCAGGGGACACTTGGTCATTTCTGGAGATATTTTTCCTGTCACAACTGGGGGTGATAGTTGGGCAGAGATGTTGCTACACATCCTAGTGTGCACAGAGAAGCTCCCACAGCGTGGAATTATCTGGCCATAAATGTTCATAGTGCTGAGGTCAAGAAACCTCCATCTAGAGGTTTGGCTTCCCTATGCCTTCCTGAGTTAGGAACAGCAGTGCCCAGCAAAACCATGGAGGAAGTCAACACATCTTCAGAAGCCACCTGGAGCTATGTGGAATTAAGCAAGTCATTCAATGTTCCAGTTCTGCAGTTTCTTACTTGGTAAAATGAGAGTAAAAATGTATTACCACACTGTTAATATTGTGATGTAATATACATGAAAGTTCTTAGGGCTAAGCGCGGTGGCTCACGCTTATAATTCCAGCACTTTTGGAGGCCGAGGTGGGCAGATCACGAGGTCAGGAGTTCGAGACCAGCCAGACCAATACAGTGAAACCCCATTTCTACTAAAAATACAAAAATTAGCTGGGTGTGGAAGCGGGCACCTGTAATCCCAGCTACTCAGGAGGCTGAGGCAGAATTGCTTGAACTTGGTAGGTGGAAGCTGCAGTGAGCCAAGACTGTGCCATTGCTTTGTAGACCAAAAACAGTTATTTGAAGTACAAGGGGTTACAGACAGTGTGGGTAATCTCTACAAAGTCCTACTGTGCTGTGCTCTTATCCAGCCATGCTCACATGACTTTAGTAGTTACTCCAATTCACTTCTAGAAAATTAATGGAAATTGAGATAATTTCTTCTCACATACTTCATAATATAACAAGTATGATAATCAAATTCTGTATCAGCGATTCGTTTTTCACTTTATTCCTAGCTTCCTCAAATGTCATTTCAGTTACATCAAAAAGACTATGCATTTACTAAAGATCTTGTCCAAATGCTTCCAATCATATCTTTCTCCATGACTTTGAATATTTCTGGTGCAAATATCTAGAAGCGCCCTATCTCCAAGATATTCAAATCCTGACTCTCATCTTTAATAGCCTATGTTATTCTCTTCCACTTTCTAAACCTGCTTTTCATTCCCACTGGCATCTCCCCTCCTTCAATTCATCCATAGTTTCTAAAGCAATTGCCTATTTTGACTTCTTTCAGATCTCAAGAAAACCTGAACCTTAGGGCTTAGCATTTAAGTAGCAAAAGCCACTGATAAGTTGCCACCATTTTTTTTTTTCATCATAGTTAGTCATTCCTAATTGTAGTGAATGACATGGTCAATCATTGGATCTGACTGTAATTCGGTATCATTTACATCTGCCACAAATTCATTCTGACATCTCAGATGGACCCTGTCTGGCTGCTAAGAAGTTCCCTGATTCACCTCTTGATAATGCCACATTACAATCCTCACAGTAACCATTAGAAATCTTTTTGCTTCTTTTCCAGCTTCCAGCCCCAGCCCAGATTGGCTCATTCTCAGAAGATGGCCATATTTCTTACTTAAAAATTCAATGCTCTCTTACTTGAAATCTCTGAATCATTCATTCGTCCTTCTCTCCTTCCTCATGTTCACTGCTGCATGTTATGTAGATTAGAAACCGCGGTGCCATCTGCGATCCCCTCCCCCAGGACGGCTCCCTGTCATCTGCCAATGGCTGCAGTTTTCCCCTCATTTTCCCTTCAATCCCTGATTTTTATATTTACTACCTTTACACTAGTAAAAACCATCACTTACTATTTTGACAGACAAATAGTCAAAAAGGCTAAGCACTGGCCTTTTACATCCTCACTTTAGTGCAACACTGCTATTTGATGCATATATTAAACAGAGAATGTCATTTCTCCTGTTCAGAACCTCTGACCCTGTCATATGGAGCCCTCCTCTATATAGCCACAATCTACAACTCTAGCTTAGTCTCTGTGTGGAAATCCGATGATTTCAAATGAAACACACAGACACGCACACACATGCACACACACAAAACACACGCACAACTGGACCATTGGATTTTCATTAAATACATTTCTTGTCTATCTTTGTTCATGCTATGGGCTTGCTTTTTGATGGTGCTTCCAAGCTTCCCTGGTAAAACTGCTACCAAGTGCCTTGAGGGCAGTGACTACACGTTTCTCAGTTCTGTCTCTGCAGCAGCCAGCACAATGCCTTGTCTATTGGATGCAATCAATAATTATTTGGTGAAATGGATAGCAAGTTTTGGTTACACTGTAACTAAATATAGCATAACATTGCGCTGTCATTTTTATTTAAGATAATGCTAACTAATCTTTCATCAGCACAAGATAATGTTCTTTGGAAAGTTCTCATACATGGCACCTGGTTTACGTGGATGTCTAGAGAAAATGTTGAAGGTCTTCCATTCAAACTAACGTAAAAAAACTCCCATTTGGAGGCTTCAATTCACTGTTACCTGGGAAAATGCATTTAACATCCACATACAACGACAAACATTTGCTGACGGCAGTTTGCTTTTTGTAGGAAGCACAGTGTTTAGTAAGTCATTTTTTATTGCTAAAAGGACATTTGTATGAAGTTAATGAACTGTGAAGCAGGTGAGCTTGATTATTTTTGTGATATTAGACAAGCTCTTTAAATTCTTTGATTCTTTTTTAATGTGTTAAATAATATTACCTAAGGGCCCTCCAACTTTAAAAGCCTTTGACCCTATCCATAAGATATAGATGACCAGTACTGACAGGAT